ATATAGGTTTTTGGCCAACACTCAGTACCCCCCTCCCCCCTTCCACTTTCTCGCTCTCATCACGGCTACTCGGTAAACAAAATTTGAGCTTATGTTTCAGAGCTGTTAAAGTACTTTTTAAAAAGTACTTAAGTACAAATTTAAGTACAATCTAAAAAATGTACTTAAGTACAGTAAAAGTACTTTCCTATAAAATGTACTTGAGTACAAGTACTTTTTAAAAAAGTACTTATGAGTACATTTTGAGTACTTTCTGCTAATATGCTAAAACACTTCAGCGCTTATGCAAAACATCATATTTCATAACTTATCCAGTATATTTGACAAATTAGGCTATTTATTACTAAAAATGTGAACAGTATACGAAGCATTTGAATATACAATGTACGCACTGAACGGTGGAAATGGTCCGTGAAGTTGAACAAAAAACAACCCAAACGAACAGACGCAACTAGTGGGTAAGTGATATTATGAATAGAACTTGTTTGAGCAAGACAATGTGATCAAATGTAAGTAAATAAGAAAGGATTAAATACAAAACTGCCGTTCTCTGTTTTAAATGTATAAATGATAGTGCATTTATCTTAAAACATTCCTGGAATTATATAATCCACCTAGAGCCCTTAGATCAGCCTCTGACAATCTAATTCTTAAAACTCCAAAACAAAACTACAAAACATACGGCGAGCGTTCCTTTTTGTTCTTTGGTCCCCAGGTATGGAACGAAATCCCATATAAAATAAGATCTGCCCCAACAATTTCCATTTTCAAAAATCAGCTGAAGCATTTTTTATTCACAAAAGCATACCTGTCATAATGATGTACTGTGATATATATGCATGTGTATGCCAGGCTGTGAGACTGAAGAAATAGCGAGTGAGAATGAGAGAGAGAAAAAGAGAGAGATAGAGAGAGAAAGAGAGAGAGAGAGAGAGAGAGAGAGAGAGAGAGAGAGAGAGAGAGAGAGAGTGGAAATGTTTTTCTATCTGTATAGAATTAATGTTTTAATGAATGTTTCTAGTTACTCACGTTTCAACTGTATTTTGACTGTTCGTGAATTTATATTGCATTGTATATTTTTAGTGAACACATTTTCAACCTCACTGCGAGACTGTTTTTCTGGTATAAAATTTTACACATATGCATTTATATTATATGTATAATACTTTGTTTTACGTACACATTTGTGTCGATTAATTTTTAAGATGTGATGTCTTTTTCATTGTAATGCACATTGAGCATCTTTTAGGAAATGGAAATGCGCAGTATAAATGCTATTTATTATTTATTATTATTATTATTAAGTCAGCCCTAGAGGTCGGAAAGTTCTACAGAAAGAGTATCCAAATTGAAAAAAATGTAGATACAAAGTTGCTCTTAAGAAAACATAAAACAGATGAAAATGGCCCGCATAGAAATGGAAAAGTGCATTGAATTCTTCATTAACAAATCCTCAAGGAATCAATGTAGCCTTAAGCAAAAACCACCCAAAAAAAGTTTAAAAGAAATTTAGGCAGCCTAAAAATTGTTAGATACACATTGAGAATACAGTTTCAGTTCCAATTGATTATAGTGGTCTGACAGATTTTGGTCACACTGTGTAGTCCACGGCGCCCACGGCAAACCAAAATACAATAGTTTCCTAGAGTCTAGTAAGTGTAGTGTAACCAAAGATTCTCTACTACAGTATTCTCCGCCTAAGATCCCAGTGCTCGGAAGCAAGTAAAATATGGGATCTTAGCCAACGAAGCCAAGGAAGAATCTACAGTGACCCATGAACTGACGTGATCCCTGGGTGGATTTATGACATACGGCAAGCAAAGAGTAGTCAACCTTGATGATCAATCACAGTGGCATGAGGCATGCCATAAATAATATTATATATATATAAACACTCATTAGCCTATTGTGAGTCTTGAGATCTTTATCTACGTTTATCCAGTTGCCCCTCCCCTTTACCTGTCCAACAACTTCAGCTTTCCATCTCTGATTGAGTCCCCCCCCCCCCCCCCCAACCTCCTTTGTCGGTTACGCACCATTACGATGTGACCACACTAATTAAAATTCAGGTTGTCTCGCAAATTCGGTAAAAACTGCTTTCAATGGTCAGGGAAGAGTTCACAGTTTGATGTGATCCCGCCTGGAGCGAACTTGTAGGCCATACCCACACAGGGAGTGATGTAAGTTTAGGTGGTGAGGTCACTATACGTTCTTAACGTTCTCTGATCGTCTAGTGAGGTCAGAATATGCGAGTGCGATGTTTGGGGAAAAGAAACGCATCGGTCAGTTCACACCTTAGTGTGATCTCGTCTGGAGCAAACACTGAACCGTTTCATGGAGTTTTACAACGCTTGTGATCACGTTCACGATAGTGGCTGATCTTTGAGGCGACGGGCCGTTCTTTGATCTCAACTTTTAACTCTTGGCGGTTGATTGGGTTTTTGTTCCGTAAATTATGATCAGAAATGCCTGCACTTACCCTTTCATTAAGCTACCAAAG